AGGTAAAGCAGCACTTTACTTTGCTGCACAGAGTAAAGGCTGGCCTATAAACAGAAAAACTTGTGAAACTTATCTTAGTGAATGTCGCCAGCGTAGAGTGAAATTACTAGCAGATCGTCCTCCTAAAGCACCACCTTCACCTATCAATGAAGGGAAAACTTTATGGTCTAGATGGCAAATTGATTATATCGATGTTGTGGTTTAACCCCAGTCGGCAACTAAGCACCACACAGCTGCTCACTCGCTCCCCGACAGCGGGGTGGGGGGAGAATCAGAAGGGTAAACGTGAGAAAGAAACTCGTGCAACCCGCTTGGTGCAGCGTTCACTTTATCCATCCCAGCATACCTAAAGAAAATGGAATCCCAACAAAACCAGTTGGCCTGGCAAGCAGCGATGGGCTAACTCAGCCCGTCAGTCTGTGCTCAGTGAAATACCTCCGTCACCAGACAGACGGAGTTTGGAAAAAGTACACTTGCTCCAAGTCCTGGGACTGCAGCCAGTAGATGGCATTCATATGCTATCGCATGCATACGTATGCTATCATATGCTATCAGGTTTAAACTGCCTTGGAAAACACAAGAGCAGCATTTTTCATATAAGAACGAAGGTAAAAGGCAAATATTCACCTTAGCTGGAGATGACCCTGCAGACTTTGACAATTAACTTTGGAGCCATCAAGTGTTACAGACTTCCTGGCATCTCCCTCTGTCCCCATGGATCTTCTGTCTGCTTCTTATGCCTTGAAGCAATATGATGCATCCCTAAAGCATCCGTGAGTATCTTGTGTATCCTGGACCACAGGGATGCCCAAACCGTGAGGTGCGAGTGAGGGGTACCCCACCATCCCTCTGAGGTCTGACCCAGGATCTACCAGGCTGACCATGCACATGGCTAGGAGCTGCCAGCATTTGGCTAGCACTGATGTGTGGTGCTTTCTTTACGGTGACATCCACTGGATGGAGGAAATACTGTCCTGCAGGAGCCACTCATCCTAGGAGAACAATGATGTCTGCATGGAGCTACGCCACTTGCGTTTGTAAGGGCTGGGAACAGCCATCTCCCCGCTGAGGTACCAAGGCTCCCGTTCCCACCACGTGGGAGATGTGAGCACCCAGCAGGGACATGTGGTTACAAGAGGAGGATGGAATGGGTGACGTGATGGGAAAGGCATGGTGTGTCCTAGATGAGCAGCCCAGGAGCGTGCCAGAGCAGGGCCTTGTGAGACTGTGACTTTACCTGCAGCGCAGCACCTCAGCCCTTCTCCTGAGCCTGCAGACCTCGGCTGGCACCACTGGAGAGCCCCAGCACCGCGCCGAGACTGCATGGGAGGGCTGCGTGAGAGCTGGGACCGAGACAGGACTCCTTACCGTAACGGAAAAAGAGGTGCAATAGGTAGGCTCCTGCTTCCACCACACAGCACTCCTCCATCTCTCCACCGTGCCCTGATCTCCAGATCACCGCAGCCCCTCTGCCCACTGAACAGTCCTGAAAAAAAATCACACGCATCGTTAGCAGATGGTAACAGGAAAATCTCAGGGCAGCAGGCAGAGGCAGACTCCACAGGCCTGCTCTATAAGTTGATATAATAAAAGAGATGTCCTCTCTCAGACCATTTCTGCTAAGACTCAGAAGACAAGCCCTTACACTTCCTTCACTGGGGGGCCACTACTAAAGCTAGAGCTACCTTCATCTTTGCACGGCACCAAGCACATTGGCTGCATAATGCAAACATGGGGGGGATTTTTGACAGCAGACATCATCAAACTAACCCTGCCTCCACCAGCAGCTGGGTTGAGGCTTTGGCCCGAGCTGGAGGGAAGGCTGTTTGCCAAAGCCCAGGAACCAGAAGGCAGAGATGTGAGCCCAAATCTGGAGCAGGTGAAAATCACTGCTTCTTCATTCACTTTTAGGTTTGCAAAGGAACCAGCAAAGGTCTCAGGCTCTAATGCAGTTACAGACATCCTGGAAGCGAGGAACAGGAGCTGATCCCCCAGCACAAGGAGGACCGTCTGTCGAGTCTGTCTGTACAGCCCCTGGCACCAGAAGCGAGACCAGTGCCTGAGCTTTAGGTACAAATCAGCTTTGCATGTGCAAAGCAAGATGGACCATTAAATCATAGAATCATTTAGGTTGGAAAAGACCTTTAAGATCATCAAATCCAACTGCTGACCCAGCACTGCCAAGGCCACCACTAAACCGTGTCCCCAAGCACCACATCCCTGGCTTTTTTAATACCTCCAGGGATGGGGACTGAACTCCTGCCCTGGGCAGCCTGCGCCAGGGCCTGACAGCCCTTTGGGGGAAGAAGTTTTTCCTAATACCCAACCTAACCCTGCCCTGGTGCAGCTTGAGGCCGTTCCCTCTCGTCCCATCGCTTGCTCCTGGGGAGCCGGGCCCGCCACGCC